CTAAAACTAAAATTTACTATTGTGTCAATTGCCGTTAAAAAAGCATGGTCCAATTTAGGAAACCGCGCGGTCCAATTTAGGAAACCGGTTTCTTAATTTGGACCAAAAACACAATTTTTTTAAATTGAAATTTGAGGGGTATAAATATAATTTTTACTTAAACCAAAAATATCATTTTGTTGGTAAGCCTTGTGAGTTACTTTTCCGCTACTTAATTTTTATTGACAGTTTATATGTGGCTCTATAAATCAAAAAATATAAAAATGGTCCAAATATGGCTACTTTCCCTAACAGTTAACTGTCATCATTTTTTATACATTTACAATAAAGTACCCCAATTTTATTACGAGTATTATTCCTTAAAATGCATTTGAAGGCTTTTGGTAGAAATGTGTTTTGTTTTGATAGCATTTCTAAGCTTGTCAAATTTCTTATACTAGGTAATCGAATTTTTCAAGCTGCCCATCTGCCATTCGATAAATTCAACACCTGCATGAAATATATTCACACTAGAAGCAAATGCCGGCGTTAAATTTTACACAATGTAGATAAAACGCAGTTGCACTTTCAATGATCGAAGAATTTGCAAAAATATGTAATACCCCCATGTTTTCGCTTCATGTGTATCATAATAATTCGAAGAATTCTGAAAAAAAAAACTGAATTGTATGCACAAGATCGCATGTTTCCAATAAAAATTATGTCCCGCACAATGAAAATAATTATCAATATGCTTTAGGTATACAGTTCGAACCGTGAATAAATTATACAAATTAAACCTTAATTAATAACCGTATATACCTACGACGCACACAACATCAATTCGAGGTTCTGGTGTCTTCAATAAAAATCCTTGTTGGCGCGCACACAGATTGAAACATTCGTACGTTGGCGCTGGTTATTGGATGCTAGATGAGCACATGGAGTCTCGTGTGGTGACAGAATTATGAGGCGCGCTGGGCGCGAAAGTGAGGCAAGAGGCCGTGGAAGAGAAGAAGGTAGCCTGGGTGATCTTCTCCACGGGTACACCGCGCGCGCGATATGCACCACACTAGCCATAAATATGTATGCGCAAGCCCTTGGTGCCGACCCGGTGAAAATTATGTGTGTGTAGATGCTCGATAGATATCAATATTCATGTAAACATTCTGCGCCCCATGTTCGCATTGAGTTATTAGACAAGGCGACGAGAATGTATCACTCGCTAGCGCTTCGCTGAGCTCGCGCGAGTGAGAGAGCGCCCAAGTTAAATCTTTGGCACGAACTTGTGCTTTGAATTCGCGTATTCGACATTCTGGCGATCGCTGGTGCACGTGGCGAACGGGGTCCAACGAGTTCTAAGCGCCGTCGAGTGTGCACGAAGAGGACTTGAGATGTATGGCAACGAAACTATTTACCTAGCGTGTTCTTTATGTTGGCAATAATACATAACATCAATGTAAACGCTTTTACGTTATGCTTCAATAAAGAACTGCGTGAAATAGCTCTGGAGTTTGCAATAATGTATGCAACTAAATTTACAATTGCTATTTATATTTATTGATTTTTAGTTATTTAAAGATTTATTTTTCTTTCATTTTTTTTTTCATTTTTAAAATTATAGTTGTTCAATTGTCAAATGGCAAATTTATTAAAGTTATTTTTATTTTCAAATTTGGGAACACCTATCCCAACACAGATTTAGTGCGTTTTGCATTGATCAATTAATTAAAGAGACAAATTATAAAGTTGCAATCTTAGAATTCCTTTCGCATCCCCCATTCGTCTTCCATTTCAGTTCGTAATTCACAATATTTGATACAAACGCGTAGATCCTAACATCCCCATCGTTATATCACGATTGCTCCTTTACGCTCCCCTCTCTGAGTGTTTACTGTGCGCAACACTTGGTTCGATCATTATTAGTTCGTATTTAATTAATGCATTTATGCGTTGATGTACTCGTATATTAATTAATGTAACTTATTGCACCATTCCAGAAGCAAAAAAGCCCGAAGCTGCCTTCCTCGATGTGAAACATTCACATCTGCAGCATTTGCGCCACGACACTCACACATCACCAAATCGTACAACCCTTGTCCTAAGAATCGTGAACTTCGCGCTCCGTCGTCTGTCTCCTTGATTCCAAACTTCGCCGTTCTCTCCCAGCGAGCAGGAAACACACTTTGGTAGTTTCCTCCTTCACTCTGTCTCTGTCTCCCTCTCTCCGCTTGTTTGTAGGTGTGTGTATATATATAGGCGCGTGAGGCGTGCATACGGCAATATGTCTCTCTGAGGAAAGTTCCAAACACTCTCGACATTTCTGAATTAACAAGTTGTTTTAATAAAATTCACCCGCTCGCGCTTGCCGCGTCGGAGCAAACAACCCTTCCATGCCGTCTCCGCCGGCGTTCTTATAAGAATGCTGTTGTACCAAGTCCCAAGTAAGTAGTACTTACTCACGGTACGTTTAGTCAAAGGGCTATGTTTCGTGTAGGTACTTGTGTGCCGTGTCGTTACACTTCGTGGAAGTAACGCGACGTTCTCTCTTGCAAGGGCTGTCGCGCCATATTTCCGCAGAACGCCCGCGCCACTAAAATTGGCGTCTCTGTTTCTTTGTTAGGGCGTGCGGAATTTACGCCCCAGGGAATAAATCAAAACTTCGACTTTTGTTTTGTTTTCGCTTATGAATTTGTTTAACTTTATGCGAATATTAAATTTTAATGCGCGTCATTATGTATTCAATTTCCTTGCGCCTCGTTTCGGCACGCAGCCGGTTTTGAAACTTAATGTCAAACAGTAAACAACCCTTCTGGTCGTGCTGAAAGACGAATAAATCAAGATGTCCAAAATATAGGTATATTTATTTAAAATTGTAGGTACGTGAATTGAATACAGTTTATTTCGAGTATACACTCGCATCGTCAGTTACTGACGATGTTTGATCATCAAATTAATCAAGGTAACACAGTTTGTAATAAAAATACTTCTCGTGCATGTGGCTATGAATGAACACTTGCGCACATGCAGGTAAGGCAGTAAAAGAAGCAACTAACAAACGTGATATCTCGAACGAACACGGACAGCATCCGGCGCTTCGGACCAGGTAATCACTCACACCTGACGCGTAATCACGAAGAGGCGGTCCGCCCAAAGCTGCATCCTTAATGAGAGGTGCGCTCTCCTCCTTTACAGAACCTCCACGCAGCATCCCAATTGGTCAATCGCGTGTGTTGAATGTAGGTACATTGTACGCACGATTGTAGCAACATGCTTGCTGGAATTCATTCTCGTTGAGAGGCAGAGCCATATATATACATGTGCGCATATATGTGTATGTGTTTGCGTAAATATAAAACGCACACAACAAAACAAAACAAAAGACTTCGAAGAGTAAACCGCAATATCACGAGAGTTTAGTAGTGAAGAAGACACCTTGTTCAATCGCCAATGTCCTCGATTCACATTTTTGAAAACAAGAAGCAAAAATTTAAAAAAAAACGTGTTAAGATAAGTTAGTTTGAATAGTTGAATTTATATCGGGTTGACGGTATCAATGGATTAGTTGCCAGTGCGTCACATCACATTTTATTTCGTTAATCGTGCTCCCCTCAACACATCAGATACGCTTTGAGGATGGAAAAAATTGAGCATTAGCAGAACGCCGCGCAACGACTGACCTTGCTTGTGGCGAGCGCACGCCGCGATGCCAAAGAAGGCGGTGCCAATCACATTCCCACCAAAGCGTCATTCCCCTCATGCGAAGCGTTAGCACCGCCACCAGAGGGCATGTCTGAACGAAACCGCACACTTTTCGAAATTTTCCCCCGACTCGTGCGCGCACTCCACTGCGTACGTGGAGAGTGTCGAGAGCGCATTATGCTGACTGTAAAGAAATTTAATTACGACGCTTGTACGTTTGCAGCCAGACATTACGTATACTACACGGTGGCATTGTGAACGCCGAACACGGATGCAGAATGAAGAATATACAAGTAAACAAAGTCGAAGATGGGCAAGTAGCGGGGAAGCCGCTTGTGCGGTACTTTATTATCCTCGAGAGTTTGCAACTTTGCTGTCAGATAGTTAGAATCATCAATCTTCATAAGATTAATGTACAAACTTACGCGGCGAACGCGCGTCGAATCAGCGTCAGGCATCGAGAGTGTCATATAAATTCGTCTCTAGTCTGTGTAGTATGATACTTACTTTGTTGCGAGGCATACGAGTATAAGCATCTACCTTCCATCAAGTTCTATCCTACAGGAATGCGCCGTCAGCGCTGACAGCGACGCTTGGTGAAACTAAAGTTTTTTTTTTTCATTATGTAGGTAAGAAAAGTGTATACTCGTAATATGTAACTAAAATATGTAAATGAAAAGGGATTTAGTTGTAAAGTTTATAATTGATACTTGTGGGATAGAAACAAGAAAGAGATTTGCTGGTAGTAGTCATTTAGCGTTTGTATGAGCGGCGGAGTCCTTTTACAAGTTGTAGATTTGAGTAGAGCGGCGAGCGAGCGAGCGCGGCACGGGTATTTAGTGGGTAGGCGATTCGTGTCGAGTCGAGGTGCGAACAGCGGTTAGACACGGGGATGATGCGTGCACGCGGTCGATCCATCACACACAGTGCAACGGCGACGACAGGCGACGTGGCGAGGCCGCGCGGAACGCACACACCCTCGACGATTGGGCCGATACGCGAGGGCGGAGCGAGGCGTAGCCCGCCGTCGAAGCGGCGTCGCGTTCTCGCTTCAATCGTCCTCGCAGCGACACGACGACAACACGACCGCGCGGAGAGGGAAAAATGCGGCGCGGCGTCTCCTTGATGGGGCGGTGGCAGGAGGGGACCACGCCGCGAAAAAGAAGTAGGGCGCGCGATTTTTAGTGGTGGTGGATCAATTGCTCAGCGCGCCGAGGGGAGAGGCCGGCACAAAAATGTTCGACTGTGTGTGTATCTCAGAAAGAGCGCGCGAGCGCTCCCGGAGGAGACACATGCGCGACATCGACGAGTGCGGCAGCTCGCTCGCTCGCTCCGCGCCCCACTCGCGACGAACATTTTTTCCCGATCGCCCCGGCGACGACTACTGCGCTTGTGTTGTGTGATCGCGACAATTTGTCGCCGTTAAAAGAATTCCGTGACATCAGTAGTCGCGTTCTGTCGGTGGCAAAAACAGGACCCTCTCGGCCGGAGCGACGTATCCCGACGCCCGACCGCAGCAGTCAAGAGCTCGCACACATTGTGCACCACACCAGCAGTCGACGGCATCGTCGACGCGTCGCAACCGCACAGCAGCAGCCCAGCGTCGCGGTCCCCCCTTCCACTGCCGCGCGAACGCCAGCCCCGCTCCGCCCCACCCGAAGGGGCAGCACCCGCGTCGCAAAAATCAAGCCCGACAGAAAGAAGCGTTTCGTTCGACCGCAATTATCACCTGGCGTGCGCCGTTACACAGATTACATTGTACATACAATCCGGGAGCGCCGAGCGCCCGCCGCAGCGCGCTACCGTATTTTTTGGACCCGTCAGTCGAGGGACGTCGGTCGTCGCGCAGTTGTCAACAGTCACGTGGTGATTCATTCAAACTTGCATCTTCGAACATCGTGATCTTCGACATCGTTCATCGTGATATGCAGCCGTCAGTGGTGTAGTGTTCTGTGCGTGCAGGAAGCCATGCTTCCTCTGGCGACGACTCAGTGAGTGCGACACCGACTGGGCACACCATGTCCCAGTTTGGCTTCCGAGCATCGCCGAATACTCAGGTACGCCGCCCCACACACCACACATCTATTCTTCCTTTGTGTGCTCAGTCTCGTGCGCCCGAACTTCGGGCATCTGGCTTTGTGCGTCTGGCTACTGCCCCCGAGGCGATTGCCTGACTCGCTTGCTATGTGTGTGCGCGAAACCACCCCGTACGCCACCTCCAAACTTCTCTCGCCACAGCAGCCAGCGGCAGGTTGGCATCCGAGTTTGCATGCCGCCTCTGCGTTTACCTACACTCGGCTACCTTCGGAGACCCGCTCGAGTCTGGGCTAATTACCAAACTTGCTACAACATCCAAACACACATTCCCCATGAGCAAATTACCAACGAACCTCGTATTAATACCGCGGGCCATAAACTACATCCTTTTCCTAGCAAATTGGAACCAACAATAAGACAAACATGGAACGTTTGTGCTGATCCACAATTTAATAAATCAAAAAAAGGAAAAGAAACTAATTTCGTTACCTTGATTTTCGATTAGTTTCAATGCAGGTGTTTAGGTCAACTGCCTTGTTTTCATGTTTTAAAGTTGAGAATACTTAACCATTGAAAAAACTACCTTCGAAGCTTTCACGCGCTTGTTCGTTTCCTTCCTTTCGACTTTAGACCCGTTTCCGTCGATCGAATAAATTGATATCACTTCAGAACCCCATACCTACTCGTAAAAACCTGTCACGAAAGCATCCAGCAACAACGCAACCACATTAAACTTACGTTTTTTTTAAATGTGCAAATTATTCAAACGAATGCGCATATTGCACATGTTCACGCTATGCTATATCAAAAATGTCGTTACAAAACAAAACATAGTCCACAAGTTGAACACGTTTTGAAAACAATAACCCCCGAAAAAATGAAACCAAAATTAACTTTCATATATTGTAATGTCAATTGTATTTAAATCTGTTGAGGAATACTTGACACATTGGTACTCACCAAAATTACAATATCTGTAATCATAAGCTACTTGCAAAAATTGATGTCACACGATTCGCAAGCGAACCAACGAGTTGAATAAATAGCATTGGGAGTTTTCACGAACTGTCAATTTGTTGCGGCGATGAAGTGCATCATAAACCAGACAACGGACGTGTCGTGAATCAATCGAAACAAGATTTTAATTAACTCAAAGTACAAATTAAGTTGCATTCCGCGACTGCAACGCCGGCGTGCCCATGTGCTGCGATTCGAAGGTACCAAGCATAACGTTCAATTGAAATTGGTCTCATTTTCGGTTCACTAATTGTAATTAAAATCATTTTAAACATTCTCATTATCGCTTCATTCTGCGAAAGACCGTTGTATAGATCTTAGCTGGTCATTCACAAGTGTTTTTTTTTTTCATTCAGGAAGATCACCAATAAGTTGTTTTTCGTTTTCTGTAATTAATACTCCGATTAATATTCCCATGCGGCTGCACTTTAATTCAATGTTGAGCCGCGCTGTTTTTGTTGGGTTCGGTCCCTTCGCGAACGTTGAGTTTTCGTCAAGACTTTTATGATTTACATTTTATTGCGGATATTAAAACTGCTCCGCGAGCCGGTAATATGCGCATAGCACATCGCGTGCCGAGCACGAAAACCCTAAACGGCTTCATAATAATTAAAATTTACTTTGTTCACTCGCGTATTTGGCAGCTCTCTTTGCACATGCCACCAACGGCAGAAATGACATTGTTTTAATACTTTTCTTGCATTTCCGGTTTTGTTCTCGAAAACATAAAAATAACGCCTCAAAATCTTAATTCTGAACTTGAATTAACTTGCGTCACATTTATATTAATACTCTTATTTGCCGGTTTTTTTCAAGGTGATGATCTATTGCTTTAGATGCGTGGATTAATCAAAACTGCAACAACGCTAAGCATAATTTGTCGTTGTGTCAATGCAATGAATAACATTTGTCATATAAGTACACTTACATTGCTGGCAGACTTGTTTATGACTCACATGACTAACGCGACGCGCTCAAAATCCAACCAAACTTTATCCGACTCGATAAAATCCAAATCCGGGGCAAATAAATCTGATAAATCTGATTCATATGCGTTTCAGTTTTTATTGTGTTGCGTGGATGTCCCTTTCAGACGTGAATGAAACCGGACTGAAAGCCTCGGTAATGCGCGGGGACGAACGTAAACATTAAGTAAATATATTAATAGATTTACCTATTGTGTTTTTGCGCATTTATGGGCAGACCGAAACCCCACATTTGGAGTGCGAAAATAATATAAAGGTCGAACGCGGTCTCGTATAACCTGGGGTGGCTTTGACGCGCGCCTAACACCGATATAATACGTTCGGAAAGAGCAGCACTTCACGCATGACTGCTGTAAACGTGGATTCCTTCGGAATCGGAAAGGGATAGAAACGAGAAAGCCGGCATAATTTTGTGTCCTTTGCGCACTGTCAGCCACAATATGGTGACATTCTGTTTCTACCAGAGACAACGCTTTATATTTCGGAATTAAATATTATTCTGCAGCTGGCTGCATTCGGCCAGAGTGTGTATGTGACAAACGTGCGCTTACCAGAAAAAATATTAGTAACGCCAAATTTCACCCATCAAAATAAATATTAAATGCTTATAAATCACTGGGACCTACTACATACGAGTATGATTTATCATCATTTAATATGCACAATCTCACATCTTCTCAGAACTGCTTCCATTGCAGCATGCTTCAGGATACTTTACATGGGTATTGCAATAAGGCACAAATGCAAAATTGTCAATAACTGGAATCTACATTTGCGCAAATTGGCAACCAAATCATTACCATTACCAGATACGAAAATTAACTTAATGTTTTCGTGACTATCTACTAATGCAATGTATGCGATTTGTTCGATATTAATTACAAACAAGCCGCAGAATGCGCATGTAAGTAGAAAATCGTGTTCGACTAGAATATGGACGCGTGCGCCGAGGGAAAAATATAAAATTCATATCAAATTAAAAAATGCCAACAACGAACAGCTTGTAAAATTTCTAAACTCCAGACGCGCATGCACAGTGTCACATCGTGCCGCTGTTTGTCGATATCGGTCCATTTTTGTTTACAAACTAAATAGGTAAAGTCACACGTTGAAACAAGAACGAATGATAGGTGCCTATAACACATTCAACAGCAAAAAAAAGAGCTACAGGTCGAACACGTAATAATAAAATGTCAATATGCTGCGAGTAAAATGTGCATGAATAACTAAATGCAATGTAATGTATGCAGTCACACACTGCGTGACAGATGTAGGTATAGCGAGCGTGTGTTTGTGGCTCAATGTAGAACTACAGTCACCTTCTGCACGTGAAGAAAACGTAGAAATCGCGAACAACGTTTTCACGTGAGTAATAAACTTCTATTAATATCCAGTTCAGGGTGTAACATTTGCTGTAATGATATTTGATGTTCAGGAAAACATTTTGCGCTTGGGTTGTGTGCATCTGCGTTTATTACTACACTCGTACGCAATTATCACCGTTGCAGTTGATTTTCGACCGAGTTTTGACTCTTTACGATAGCCGTACGGACTTAACTTACCTTACACATTCAACGGTGATTACCATTTCCAGTTTTAAAATTTAATTTAATATGCGGTTAATTATTAACGAAGTGCATGATTATCGTGTATGCGTTTACGAGACTCCCTTTCGACGGGTGTGCGCGAGTGAGCTGGTCGACATTATAGTCAGCGCAGCGCGTTGTTTACATAAGAAATTGGTCTATTTATGTTAAACAGTTTGCACGATTATTACCATTATACGCGACGAACGTATCGTTACAAGGGCGCACACACCGCGAACGCGTCTCGCGTGTCTCCTTCATTTGTGTGTTTTTCGAAATTATAAAACATTTTGTGTTTTAACTTAAATATCCAACAACTGTTAAAAAGAACGTATCGCCTTACTTAGAGACACTTAGGAAGCGCATGAATTTGATATGCCGACTCGACCGCGCGCGTTTATTAATTTAATTTATAACTTCCTTTCGCTGCCGAAGTGCATCGTCGGCTCGTCGGCGTGCATGCATGCGCGATACGTAATGCGTTAATTATTCAAATAAAATAAAAGCCTGAAACCTTTATAATATGCATGTTTATACAAGCAACATATTGTTACACGTTTATTAATACAAACAATGTTTGCCTACGGCGCACAAATGTTACAAAGCGTATCATTCAAATAAAAATAAATATGCCAAGTATATGAGTATCGAGTATGTGATAATCAGCGAATTTTTGTGTATTACACGCCGCTGCTTATGGGCGAATATTCGAAAACATTCGTTTGACGGCGTGCTGTTTTGTGTTGTTCGATGCGACAAACGTTTATCCGATTTGACTGAAGTTGCTTTGTTAAAATTCCTCACCAATCGTTTCGTTGTTCGACGTTACAATGCTAATTAAAACTTGGTAATATGTCTGTCAACTAATAAGATAATTCGTGTCTACCTTACATTCCAAAATTCGAAGCAACAAAAACAATGTTATATTTTCATTCTATAAATTAATTTTATTAGTGGTAAATTGCAAAACATTGCTTATCGTCGTTTGCACAATAATTTTAAAAAATGTGGAATGAAATTGCGTTCTACTGGCGTGCTTAGGAAATAACGTGGCTTTTCTCCTCTTTGATGACGGTGAGCCAACAAGATACGCGAGTCGAAAAATTATCCAATATTATGTTAACAACACGAATCCCTTTGCGCCGCTGTGTCGAGAAGTGAATTTCGACGGGAGCCACGCATGTGACATACCTACAACAGCATTCAGTTATCCTGAAATTGTAACGATGGTTGTAGAACGACTCACCGTTTTGCTGTCATGCCATTTACACATCTATCCTTTCGATTCCTACCCTTGTATTAAAAGTAAATCATTTCTGACCGGTTTTACCTTACTAATAAAGAAATTTTCCTTTCACAAACAACCAAAAATAATGCCACATAATATCAGGGAGTAGTTACCTCCCTAGTACTAGATTTAAATAAATGTGAAAAACATATGTTTCTAATTGGGATTCTTGTTTATTTACAGAGCGCAGTATCATCGGGACCTAGTCAATCGCCCCCAGCACCACCTGTGACCAGCATGGCAGTAACGTCCTCGGCACCTCCTCCCGCTACCGCTGGAAGTCCGCCACCAAACTCCACCGGTCAACGGTGTTGTGACACTGGCCGACCCATCTTCACCGATCCCATCACCGGCCAGAGTGTGTGTTCTTGTCAGTACGAGCTTCTGGGCTATCAGCGGCTCGCGGGCGGCGTGCCCGGTATTCCTGCACTATCAATGTACAGCTCTCCATATCCGGAAGGCATGGCCGCTTACTTTCCGGCGTTGGGCGCCGACCAGGCGCCTTTTTATACTTCAACGGTATGTGTAATTACCTTATAAGTTAATTCTGCTCAACTTTCCCACGGTGTGGCTATGTTTCAAGCCAACTAGTTGGTTTTTTTTCTGTCATTGGCAACAATTTCTGAATCAATTGATTGGTAATGATTTCTGGTCAATGTTCATGCGTACCTTTATAATAGGTGAACATATTTGTATGCGTTTGAACGTTGACATTTGACACAAACGCGGACAGCGGATGCGCGTTTCGAACACATCTGAAATTCGGCATGGTGAAAACCTCACCACGTTCACTCGCACTGCGCTATCGTTGACAATCATTTGTGAGCGTGACTCTTACAAAATTTTACATTCGTATGCCATTATGTTCGGACACATTGTTTCAATCCGGGCGCGCGTGTCCATTTGTGGCGATTAAATAATCAAACATACAGGAATATTACACGAACATCGAGCATTCTCGCACACACGCCAATATTACGGGCGTGCAATCCATTTTCGATTCGTTTTCCAACTATTATTGGTCATGCTGTATTTGTACTGTACTTAACGATCCGTAAAACAGGATTCTGCTAGGCGAAACGCCATTTCGAGCATTCGCCATGCGCACAATTACAATATCTACTAAAGTTGCAATAACCTAGTTTATAATAGACAGATGTCATCAGTCAGGACGTCATCACCTGAAAGAACATTAGGTGCATGCAAATAAGTCGTTTGCAAAAGTGGATCTTGCTCACATGATGGATGCTTACAAATGCGTGAAAATTAATTTTCCTCTTACCTTTAGCGCAATCTCGCAGTAAGCAGCAATGTGTTACTAATTAATGCCCTTTTGCCCACATGCGTGAGTCTCTTAAGCGTGGAAGCGCTGACGTAGCGGCAAGCAAGCTTTGCGATGGTTAATTAAATTATATTTATTTGGTTGTAGACAGCATGAATTCGCGCCTGCTATCATTCATAAAACACAAACAATTCTATAACTAACTCCGGAATAGAGTGCTCTCTCTGGGCGTCATACATTGAGCACAGAATGCTCAATTTAAATTCAGTGCTGAATACGAATATAAATGCTGCTGCTTCATCTTCAGAGTGCTGCACGCCCAAATGAAAAAGCTCCTCATGCGAACAGCGTACGTGCACGTTGAGTTAAAAATGAATCAATAATAAATAATCTGTTGTCTCTTGCGTACGATTGTATGATAGTAAAACCCGAATGTTGTGTTTCTTTTTATGCCTGTGCAAGCTCGACGTGAATGAATAAAAAACGCCACGCAAACACAGAACCCAAACCCAGAAGACACATTGGGCTTTCGCTGCAGCATCGTGGATGCGTACAAGCCCTGTCAGAGCCATTGTTGTGCCACAAGCGGCAAGTGATTAATATAATAATCCGTAATGAAGTTATATAGACACGTCCCAATCCTGATTTATGACAAAACACATTTCAGTCGATGTTTTATAGCGCTGCATAGTTGAGCGCTGTGTGTGCTTGCACAACGCATACAGTGTGTTCTGAGTGGAGTTTTGTGGTTGTGTTGTTGCTTTTGTTGTCGTTTATTTGTTAACATAACGTGGTTTCGAGTCGAGTCTCTTAATCCCCCAGAGAAGAGGCCAGGATGACCATTCATATTCATGTGTCTGGCCAAAATTAAATTTCAACTGTCATGTTTACTAAATTATTCCGTTTACTCTTTCCCAACATTTGCCTCTTTCGGCTATGATTAAGACAAATGTATGTACTCGTACGCGTAAGTTTAAACTTAAAATAAAGTAAGCACACCTGATGACATAGTCGAGCAATTTTTGCCACATCTGGTTGAGCGTTGAATGTGTTAACACAGCGATTAATGAAGCGTTCGCATCAACAAATATGTTTTCAATTTATCTTATTCAAGCGTTATGGGCCAATAGGTCACTGTTTAAAATTAGTTAATAAGTAATATGCGACCCGATAACTGAGATAGTGACAAATGTTTTGATGATTTGATCGCAGTTTAATTATTGAATTAAGACACATTAGGACACAAAATAGTTGCTATACGACATGTCCCGTGACACACGCCTATCTAATCAGCACCTTTGTTGTTTACAGGCAGCTGGATTGGAGCTGAAGGAGAATCTTGCGGCGGGAGCGGCTTCTTGGCCATATCCATCTGTGTATCACCCCTATGACGCCGCCTTTGCCGGATATCCATTCAATGGGTAAGTTTTCTTTTCCTGCTACTTCATTATTAACTAAGCGATCAGCGTAAAATTCGAGTGTCGAAAATTGATTACACGTGGTGTTACCTCCGAATGAACTGTCGACGTGCGAGGAACTTTTACGCATTAGTGGCCGTTAGACTGTGTGTGGGGGTGTCATCGTGTGGAGATGGTGTGGGGTGACCCCATGGGACGTTACGGGCATGACTCCGTCGAGGCAAAGCCAAAGTGAAGTAGATATCAAATGACTGGGGTGTGTTCCCGGCAGTTCGCGCTAGTTATCGGTCTAAATAATAAATGACGCACTGCACCCCCTCGAAAAACGCATTCGTGCACGGCGGAAAACAACCGCCTTCGTGGTTTGTGGAGATTGCTTAATTGAAATTGATTATACGGTTTTTGGGCTCGTTGCTTTTCTCTTTATATATATATATAAATATTTTTCTCATACACACTTTAAAATCGCACCTAAGTACCTACACTGGTTTGCCTGCATCTCAAGCTCAAGATCCGTTGAAAGTTAAATATGTATACGAGTTCGTAGAGCTGTTGAATGCGAGAGCGAAACAAACCACGCGATGATTGATGATCCTGCACTGCCGATGATGATATTAAGTACGGGCGTGAACTCAAAGGCCAAACGATAATTGAATTTAATTATTTATAATTATGTCAAAAGCGATAAGATAATTTGTTGCCTTTTTTCATGTGCGTTTTGTTCCTCTAAGTTCAGCGTGAAAATACGCTGTCGCGCATGTTGTTTCCAACATATTACCAAAAGTAATCGGCATTTGTTGGTGTTTTTTTTTATTTGCTCCCACCAACAAACAATGACAACAACGAACGTATGTTCGTTGCCTCGTTTAGCCGGTTGGCGTTGTTCAACTCCACAATCGCATACCCGATTCGCAGCGGTAGCTACGTGATGATAATTTATATTCTGCGCTTGCATTCGGAAGTTTATCGACGATTGTTGAATCGATGGTGTGTTATGTTTTTACCGTGTCGGCGTGTAATTTTATTGTGGCGACGCGGTGACGATGGCCTTTCGGCGGAACAACACGTGGACGGAAGACCATCGCCAATTACATCTTTTGTCATCACTCTGCTGATGCGAGGCACATACAAATTTCCAAGACTGCCGCTTCTAGTGTCAACATGTGCACGTACCTAAGCTATAGCATCCGATTTGGGTTAGAGAATGAGTCACATACCGTAATTAGCTGGAATGTTAAATTTGATTGATCGGTTTGATGCGAAAGTCGCTTTGAGGAACGATTAACGGTCGTTCTTTGCGTATGACTTCGATTTATGTATTATAAAATATGTAGGTATAAATACCTAGCCGAATAAAATTTGCATTAGTTTCACGGGTGCATGGCGGGACAAAGCCGAGGGTCACGTCTTCGAACGGTTGAGCGTCACCAATCAACGGAGACACTTTAAGTATAAGGTATCGCGTTTTAAGAGATTACCGATACTCCTGCGATAATGCTAGATCGACGGTGGCGATAAACCGTGGGCCTCGCCACTGTTAACGATTGCGCGCGTTCGGCCGTGGTGAACTCGTGCATGCCCGCCAGGTGCTGCGTGTACATATTCCTGCCGCGCGACGAAGAAGCCCACTCGACGTCGACATCTACGTCGACGTCTAACCTGCCGCGAGCACGAACCTCGGGTGTCTATTCCTATCAATTTTCAACTCGCAGCCATCCAACTCTTCCATCTGCTCGTCGCAACGATTTACATAAATAAGAACTTTTGTTAACCTTCCAACAGCACGATAAATAGCTTCCGAAACACACAGGAATAAAAAGGGTGATGGTAATTAAAAATCGATTCGTCAATCCATGTTCGTATGTACTTAGGACTAGCGTACACTTTTTTTTGCATATATTTTAGGGTCATACAAAATCTTATGATGGATTATTGCTGTGGAATCTTCAGGTATGTCATAACCAATAATGAAATAGCCTAATGACTATCGCAATGCGCTGATCTGAGCGGCTCACGAATTTCACAGCTTTCGGCTTTCTGGCCCTTTCAATTGAGTCCATCCCATCTCATATAACAAAAGGTGTCAAAAGCAGAAGTCAACACGCGCTGTTTAATATGTCTAGCGGTATTATGTGAATACAGGCCGTTGTCACGCTGATGCTGACTGTAGTAATACCTTGAGATCCTAACCTAGCGTGGAAACTTGTATTGTTGCCGACGGAGACGTTTTTTTTTTTTTTAAATTCAATGCGAGTTGTGTCCTGTGATGACGTCGTTCTGTCATGCGATAATAAACCGACAATCATTTTTATATGCGCCCAACACGTGTTTACGTCTGAACTATTTTTGCTTAATTCTGCAGACAGACGAGGGACACAGGGACGACGATAAACATTTTAAATGCCCGAAATGTTTTACGATCCGCCACTTTCGGCCATGAGAGGCATATAAAATGAATTTCCATAATGGACCTGACATGTGATGCTTGACTAGCACTACGTCTTACCTTATTATGTGCATGTCATTCATCATTTCTTCGTCGTATTATTACCACTGCGATGTTTGCGCGTGTTATGACAGACAAAGAGCGCGTATGTGCGAAACGTTGACCGCGCAACTCGTACGCCGACGGCGTTTATTGGCACTCGCTGGCGCGGAAGTGATCTGCATGGCGCGCTCCGATTAGCAATTGCTATGGAAACAAGCTGATAATGCGATCAGTTAGGCACGGGGGAGCGCGCCCGCAGAAAATAGAACCGCTGCGCACCACGCACACATTGGGAGTAGGGCGCGCCTCGCAACGGATCTTTCCAGGCGTCGAGCGTTGTTTTTTAAATTGCCACCCGGTGGATGCGCATGGCATATTCGATGCCGGTTGGATGTGTCTGTTTGTTGGCAAACACACGCCCCACGACCTTCAGATTGAAACGTTCCGCGCGGCTGCTTAATTTCGCCCCGACTCGACGCTCGCAAAAGGGGCGCTTGACAGCTTTATTAATTTTCCATTTGTATGTACATCTCCGTGCACTACTCGCTGATACAGCCGAGCAAGATTTGCTAAAATCATTTTTACACCCATCACGAAAGGTGCAACGAAAAGGCCTGTTGTTGAGACTGGTGTCAAAAATAATGAAACCCACGTTGATATTGTGAAAGGCGCCATGACAGGATGTTTCAATTTTGCGCGTGGAAAGTCTCGCCGCGCCCCTCGAGGTATGTCATCCGGATTGTAAGACAGCTCCGCTGCCACATCTGGTCCGATTTAGACATTCGATGTTATCAGGCACAGGCAGACATGCTTATCCGCCCCTTTTGCAACCCCTGGATGTCTTTATATAAAAAGCGATTCGCTGCCATCGGATAGAAGGACGAAATCGTTGGAAAATTTAATTTCGATCTCGTCAATTCAGCAGTTCAACTAAATCGCTACATCCAGCTGGCATATCCGAGGAATCCGTGAGTTTAATCTCTGATAAAGGTTAAGCGCGTCGCGTAATGTAATGGCGATCGTCTTGGAAATCGAATTTCCTCTATTTATCTCTTCTACTTTGGTAGTGGAGAGTGAAAGAGTGAAAAGCTGCTCAATCGACCATTACTCCTCTAAAGATTACTACTCGGTGCGATCAAGATTTGAGTGTGCAATGCGTGTCTTGGCGAGAATGTAGTTTTTCTTTGTTTGTACGTTTCTATAACAGCGTTTTCTTCGACTTTTGTTGCAGATACGGCATGGATCTCAATGGTGCGCGTCGAAAAAACGCCACCCGCGAAACGACAAGCACGCTGAAAGCTTGGCTTAACGAACACAAGAAGAACCCGTACCCCACAAAGGGCGAAAAGATAATGCTGGCGATCATCACCAAGATGACCTTAACGCAAGTGTCGACGTGGTTCGCCAACGCACGGCGACGACTCAAGAAAGAGAACAAAATGACCTGGGAGCCGCGCAATCGTGTCGAAGACGAAGATAACAATAATGATGACGATGATCATAAAAGCACGGACGGAAAAGATTTAATAGGTGAGTCGCATGCTTTTTCTTATGTAGGTTCAGCAGTGTCCACTGGTCATCGGGATGGACCCATTGAAATGGGGCAGTATTTTTACATTTGGTTTTAATACAGATTCCAAAGATTCAGGCACCGGTTCGAGTGAAGATGGGGACCGACCGCCTCACCCCCGATTAGGGCCAGACACGGGCAGCGAATGGAGCGAGTCTCGACCGGACAGCGGGCCGGACAGTCCCGAATGCCTGTACGATCGATCTCACCCAGCGTTTATGCCGCCGCGTTCATCGGGTTCCCCATCCCAGCTCTCCGGCTCCGTGACGTCTAAACCTCGAATATGGTCACTGGCCGACATGGCGAGCAAGGAAAGCGACGGCTCGCCGCAATCAGCGTCCTCGTCGTTCTACTCTACCGCGGCTAGCAGACTAATGCCACCACTCGGAAGTAGATTACCACCGCCGGGACTGCACTCATCGCCGTATGCGCGAACACACGAATTCTATCGTAGTCTCTACGGGCCGGCGGCGGCGCAGCACCTTGCAGCGGCTGGCGGTAGCGCCGGCCCTCCCGATGTCTCCCTCTTGGAGTCGTACTCACGAAATCTCCTCGGCCATCCCGCCGGGCACCTCTTATCCAAAGCATCGCTGCCGGCCTCAACTACCGCGACCATGACGAGCATGCCGTTGGGACTCTCGACGAACCCGTCGCGCATGTCACCTTCTTCGACGTCCTCGATATCGTCCGGTTCTGAGACGCCTTTAAAACCAATGGCGCTCAACAAGGCTTGACTACCGATCCCTCTGTGGCCCTGATCTTCTACTACCTCCGGATGTGTTGTACATAAAAGTGGACAATAATTTATAAACTAAAAACGTAAACGCGTACCTACTTTCTTTCCCTCTTTTTCATTCACCTTCCGCCAAACTTTAGGAAGTACCCTCCTCTTATGACGTCGGAGAAGCATGCTCTTGAACGGTCATTGTGATATGAAGACAAAACGAAAATAGTTTGTTTCACCAAAGGACGATTCGCTGGTGATAAAAGACTTTAAGCGCTATTGGCGGCTAGGCGGCGTGCGTGTGCGTACTAGGTCATTATCTTGTACATAATAACTTAAACAATTAAAAGAAAATGAATCTCCCCGCAAGAAATGAAAGAAATCATTTGCGTACTGCGCTTCGTTCGCAGCAGTATAAAATCTTGTATCTATATGTATGTAATTAGAGTAGAAACGTAAGTAAAAGAATCTTTGTTATTAAAAAATTATTATTATGTACTACTAAGAATAATACGCGCATACAAAAATATAAGTTAACAATTATAGAGAGCTGCATTGTATATTAAAAATGGAGGAGAGATGTGGAAGGAATTCGATATAACGCGAAACACTTATATTAATCACCACACACACACATACACACAAACACAAAACCACACTGCTCGCATAAATACAGAAATTATCATTGTGTAATACTACGAAATTGGAAATTGGAAGCAAGTGGAATGAATCCACATCTAATTTGTTGTTTTAACATTTGACATATCACTCACTCATTCAATCTTCTTCTTTGACAGTAAACCGTAAGCGAAATTTGCGATCAATTGAGCGGTGACTTGAAAAAAGAAAACAGAATTGTACTGCATAAATATTATGGATGACTTACCAATATTTCGTGTGTTTTAAGCTGCAATAAAGTGACTCGTTCATTATTTATATTCGAATTGTTTTAATCAGATATTTCAGACGACTCTAATTTCAGCCAAATTTCAAACCAATTATGGTAAGTCCATTGTTGTCATTCATGTACTAAATCCTTGCTTGGCGGTTCATTTACATTCAGCAGCAATAAGATGACGCAAACAAGCGCATTGTGCATGCCGATTGCATTTGCGTAACGAATTCATGAGCAATTGACAGCCGAACATAAACAAATTGATCCGCATTACCATTATGACCGCACGCTAGGACCAATATTTCGTGTGTTTAACCGGCAATATAGGCGTAGAACGAATAGAACGCTTTGGATGACGCTTCTTCAGAATTTACATTCAATTTGTTTTTCGTTTTGCCAGCGTTGGCCGAACGATCGTATTGTTTTCGTTTGCGGCGAGAGAGAACCGCCGATTTATTAATATTTTTCTCAGCGGCTGTTGTCCTCGTGTTTTTCATTCCGGCGGTCGTCTCGTTCGGTGCGCGTTTCGCGAGTCCGCGACGTCCGTCGCTGGGTTGGAGTAAAAACAATGCGCTTTATTTTTTTATGGCGAGCTTTACTACATGATCGGTGGACATCGGTGCGGTCCGACCGTCAGGCAGCCTGCGCCGCCTGACAATGGATATGTCTGCCGAACTAATATCGAACCGGGGACCACCAGCGGCGGACACCGATTCAGCGTTCTACATCTATATATCAATTGTGTGGTGGTCGCGAGCTGGACTCGTCGGGTATTCGGAGAATGTGTACACAGCCGCTTGAAGGGATGCCAGGCTTCTAAATGCATTGTGGTGGCTCCGCACGAAATGTTATCTAATTTAATGCTACTCCACTCGAAAAACTATGATTCTAAATAATTAACATATAATATTCTTTCATCCGCCAGGAAGCAAAGCGCACCGCCACCGCTGGGTGTTTTATTGCGTTTCATTAAGCGGCGCTAAAACGTTTACGACGCGCGCAACTAATTACGTAAGTCTTAAGAGAGCGAGGCAAGTCTCGTTCTCAATTAGCAGCGCATCGCCGTGGCGGGGGCGCCGACTCGGCGCATCGTCGCTGTGTCTGGTCGCCGTTTTTACCGATATATTCTGACCGAATGTCTAAAAACTGACTCCATAAATCGCGCACACCGCAGAGATAAAGCATCTTATAAGATATTGTTGTATCTTCATTAAAAGCGAATGGAGGCGCTGGCCTTATAGGGCTAAATTGGTTCTAGGCTGACAACCGATGACAACATCATCATCATCATCGGGTTTGAAGAGTGACGAACTCCCAGTAAGTTTTTCCACACACAGTTGTGTTCCACCGGCGTACGCAGACTTGATCAGTAGCTCCCCTTCGTTATTAATCGCGTATAATCGTTGAGTCCCATCACAAACATCAAAGACTGCATTTTTTCCATAATTTTATTCAGAAGTAGATTCACAATATCATTATTTACTATGTTTTGAGTAAAGGATATGACGTGTTTGAATGCAGTCTTAAATGAAGTCATATTTCACTATACTAATTAGCGAGTATTTTCCGGCTGGCAGTTTGAGGCACTCCGATGTCAAAACAAATCCAATTTTAGTGTTTTATGTGCGAAGCGCGTTTTCAAGCTCGAAGTCTTCGTGCCGCCGAGAGTTTCCTTTCACTGTGCGAGCGGTTTTATTTTTAAGCGCGCCTCTGGAATGTGAGCACGAATAAAAAATACAAAACTGACAAATGCGACACATGTAGCCGAGCGCATCACTTCCCCGCACGAGTAGCGCACACACATGACAACAATTACACGCATTTTTAAACGGAAATTATGCAAATATTTTTGACTCGCGCTGCTGCATTTGGACGTCCGCCACGAGTTCTTTGAAGACTAATACAAGCAAGACAGGGATAGACACGGGAAGAGTCAAGGAAGACTGGCTTGAAACGACTGAAAGATTGATGGTTCTTTAAGAGAATGAACCTTACTTAAATTTGACGTTAATTAGAATTGTTCAGTCTAAAAAAAGAAGCGAATGTGCATTGTGTACAACGCACACAACAGTGCAAAAATTGACTATGGTTCAGCAGAATCATCCTTCATGCTTCAATATGCCTTCGGAAAAAAAAAGTTGAATTTAATTAATGATATGCTAAGTGCATGCGTTTCGGCGGAACGCACTATTATTCATTTAACGCGATTTTAATCTGAATTAATTACGCATTATGGCAACAAGCTTTTGTGTTTTCTAACCGTGCGTATGCATTGTGCGCGAGCCGCGGTGCATTTCTGCACATGCAGCGGTTCAGCAAAGTGGCAACAAAACACATCGATTTCTTTCGTTCGTGCGATGCGAGCGAGGTGACGGATTCAAATGGCGGCATTGTTGCGTTGTGCAGCCGTTTAATTGTTTATCGCGTCGCATTCGCTACGGGCACGACGCATTTGCGCGCCGCACACAAAGCGCCGCCGTTTCAAATCACAAAATGGATTTAGTGTTGTTTTAATAGAGACGGCTGCACGGCGGCGCAGTGGCGGTGTCGGCGGCGGCGAGGCGAGGAGCGACACTCCGCCGTCATCGCCCATAGGTATATACGCGCGCGCAAAGCCGGGTGCCCCACGAACAATGGAGCCGCGCACTTCACCTTAATTAGAGTTCTCTCATATGGTAATAGCTGATGAAAGTTTAATTTTGCGTCGCTTGCGGCACCCGTAATTAGAATTCGCAAACACCAGGATTCAATAGGAGCGGTGCTGAGCGTGCATAGTGCACATAGGAGTTGGCCCTCATTGTGTTGGGAGATCTGCGTCGCTGCTAATTATCCCGCGTGAATGTTGAACATAAACGACAAGATTAAGTCTATTAGGCGTCCTAACTCGCACAATTTGCATGGCCGCTGTTACTGGAGCGTCGTCTACAACAATCCACTCTTATACCAAGCTTCTGCCAAGAATTTCGAGCTTCGATTTTTTTATAGGCTGCAATAACACAACTTATTTTTGCTGTTAAACAAACAGATGTTTATTTTGTTTCCAGCAAAAAAGTCAAATTCAATTTTTAATTTTATATTTGCTCAATCCGATCACCACTGCAAACACAACATATGAAATCTTGTGAATAAATGTGAATTGATTCGCAGAAATTACCGTTTTCTTAATTTTCGCATTTTTTCAACTCCAGTAGGTTCCGACTGAGTAAATAGTCGGCGTTTTCTCTTTGACATCGGCGGTCGTCATCTTTAATGCGGCTCGCTTAAGATGTAAGTGAAAGAACAACAAAAATATTTAGTCACATCACACGAAGCGGCTTGCCGGCGAGTATTTGGTTTGTACTCATCGAGTGCTTGCATACGTAGGCACTTGCGTCCTTGCAATCCGATGTTCGGCGCGCACATACACATGCCGCAGTCTTTGTCGCATTACACACATATTTAGCTCTCGTTAAGCAGGCGGCGGCGGCGCGCGACTAGACCACGTTGGGCATATCGAGAGCTTATTAGCTATCGCATATAGATAGCCACCGAAACGACGTCGTCAAACCTTTGTGCGTGTGTCGCGCGACGTTTACTTAAGCCGTTCACCGGATGTCGTCCAGCACTGACAAACGGATCGTCGTTTATCATCGCGAAGTGGCAGGATCAAAGGCGCGACCGGTGGCGGCAGCAACTTACAAGCTGCCCAAAAACATTATCAAGCGCGGGTCGGCGAAACAAAATACACACAATCAACGCAAACCAACCAAAAATCGAAAACGGCGGCCCAGGAAGTGCCATGACAAATACTTTGCTTAATTATTTTTCTACGTCGACATATTGATGTCGTGATATGTGCACACTGCGCCCCGGCCTAATGGTCGTCTGCGTGCGCCTTGCGTTTTTCGTACGGACCGCGTTGCACGTCCGCGTAATTAATGAATGGTAGCGCTAGCTGTCGAAGAAAGGTGATTCTTAATGGCACATAGATGTGTCAGAGGACAGTTATTTATTACGGACATAAAACGCAATTACCTGGGCACGGTACCTGCGAATGGTGGCCCGCACCACGACCAACCAATGAACATACGATTTATTAACTCTTTCTGTAGGAGCCTTAGTCATGCGGCACGACGCACCATGTCAACGTGCTGTCGAATCCGTCGAAAAAGACACCGACGACATCGAAAACGCACTCCGCCCTTGCCGAATTAATGATGATGATGATGGTTACGTATAATACTTAGCGCCGCTGCTGTCCTTCAGTCATCCCTTCATTCATCCGCTTCTAACAGAAGGTAGACCACAAAGATGAACGCACGTCCGTTCACTGCTGGAAAACTTCTGTGTAAGCCTGACAGCCAAATTTCATTTATATAACAGCCACCACCTTGCAGTGCAAAGTAAAATTCAATTAACGCCTTTCTAAATGAAATGTGATCGAACGTTTCGAAACGTTTTGTGTCACTGCAATCAAGGAAACAATTCCGGAGGTTGCCGAGCTCCCATTAAAAGTGACGATTGAGATGGAAATTACGGCGACTGGTCCGCGGAGATAAACACCGTGCGCGGGCTCATCCCCGGCCAGAGACACGAGCGGATTGAATGAATGAAACGAACGCCGCCGGCTGCCCCGGAGTTCTGCAGGACCACCCCTTGGTACTCTTAACCGCTGCTCGCCTGCTCGTGTGTTCACAATTAATCAAAAGAGAATTGACGGAATGAGTTTTAATTACACTTCGGATCAGGCTTACCCTCCGACGAACCGTCGACTCTGCTTTTAGGAAGAATTGAAAAGTTATGACAATGTAACACAAGCCGTACACCCGCGAACAGAGATACCAATACTACGGATAAAACATTCGTCAGAAAGTTTACTCAAACTGCCCAAGACTCCTTATTATTAAAATGTAGAAAGTTTTGCTTGTACCTATCTAATATCATTCATTCATATCGAACCAAAGGTTAAATTTTGCAAATTACTGTTATTAGTATCTTAACAGATTGCAAATTCGAAAACAAATCTTTAACAATCGCGCTCCAATATTTGAAACATGTGTTTCG